TGCCCTTCCTCCCCCAGATCCAGGCACCCCCAGCCCCCCGCTGTAACCCAATCCCCCTCCTCTCCCCCAGAGCCAGGCACCCCCTGTTCTAACTCAGTGTCCTCCGTCTCCCTGAGAGCCCAGCCAATGCCTGGGTCCCAGAGCGGCCACCCGCTTCTCCCTCCAGGTGCTGGGGTGCATGTGCCGCGTGGCTGCCATGCTCAGAACTAGCAAGAGCTGCGGGTTGGCCACCCCTGCCCTAAGCTGCCCAGTGTCCTAGGTGGTTAATAGCTCCTTGCTCTGAGGCCTGAGCCCCTGACTGGGCGGTGCTGGGAAGCTGCTGTTGCTCAGTGTAAGGGAGGGTTCTTAACCTTTTTACCTTCACACCTTCCCTGTTCACACCCCTCCTGCACAGCCTAGCCCCGCCCCCTCTCCTGACAGGAAGCTAAGGGGCGTGGCTAGGACTATAAGAACTCTGCCAGGGAGCTCAGTCGGGGTCCAGCCTTGGAGGGAGACAGAGGTCTGCCCAGAGCTCCTGGCTGACGAGGCTGAGACCTGGCCCGGGCCTCCCACAGCCACCTTCCCTCAGGCCAGCGAAGGCTTCCCTGCCTGGGCCGCCGAGGCCTGGCCAAGCTGGCCGGCAGGGCGACCCTCTGACCTAGAGGAGCCCAAGGCTCTACGGGTGCCTGGCGATTCGGAGGACTGGCCTGAGCAGAAGGCCCGGCTCGAACCCTGAGACCTGCCTGAACCCTGGGACCTGGCGATCCTGCTGGACGCAGCCGTCCGAGCTAGTTCCCAAGTCCGACGGCTGGTGGCGCTGTGGGGGGAGCGAACCCCGTTACGATTCCGAAATGAATAATGAGCCTTTTCCTAACAGTTATGTAACATTTGAAGATGAGTCGGCAGTGCTGGCGTACTGTTACTGTAGTGCCTTGTCACACAGGTCTGATTGATTCGCACTGCTATCATAGTGTGCCGATCTCTAGAGGTTATAATTCAGAATATTAATTATGAAGAAATCTAAACTTTAGAATTTTATCCAGTGAGAAGGCAATTGCGCTACATTTTCTGAGAGGCACATCACACCTCCCCTGTATCCCCTTCACACCTCCCCTGGGGAGGTGCATCTCACTGGTTAAGAACCCCTGATTCAAGGGAACACTAGTGTGTCTATGGGACATAGGGATGGGGGAATGTGTGTGTGGCCCTGACACTGGGTGCCCTGGGACTCTCCCCTACGTGGCTTTTAGAGGGGTAGCAGGGGTCTCCTTGTGCTTCCAGCCCCCTCTCTCTTCCCCCAGGCAAGGTGAACATGAGCCAGGAATTCATGCGCTTCAAGTGGGGTGAGTGTGTTGGAGAGAGGGACTAGGGGGGTGCGGGGGGCTGCCCTTTCTAACCCCTCCTCTCTGCCCCCAGGGATTGGGCGTCTCCTGGCTGAGTGCCGGCAGCACCCCATCATCCTGCCCTTGTGGCACATCGGTGAGGCTGCGCTGGGGGGGCGTGACCAGGTTCCCAGGGGTTATGAGGGTTACTAGATCAGGGCTGCTGGCAAGAATGGGGTAGGCGACCCCAGCGGGCTGGCGTTGCTGGAGGCAGACCCCAGGGCAGCTTGGCTAGGTGCTGCGAGGCTTCGCTGGTCCCCCCAGGCACCACCCAGAGTGCCAAGGTCACCCACCTTGCTGCTCTACAGGCCATCGCCGGCCTCACACCACAGGCCCCTGGGAGCGACCAGCCATGCTGCCAGCCTGTTCTCCAAGACAGCGTTGGGACCAGGATCCATGCACATGACAGTTAATCCAGAGAGGCCAGCGTCTGACCATGGGCTCAGGGGGAGCTGTCTTTGGGCGGGGAGCTCCACCAATAGGGTGCCTTGTCCTTGCTGCTCTACAGGCCATCGCCGGCCTCACACCACAGGCCCCTGGGAGCGACCAGCCATGCTGCCAGCCTGTTCTCCAAGACAGCGTTGGGACCAGGATCCATGCACATGACAGTTAATCCAGAGAGGCCAGCGTCTGACCATGGGCTCAGGGGGAGCTGTCTTTGGGCGGGGAGCTCCACCAATAGGGTGCCTTGTGGTTACAAGGCTCGGGGCTTGCATATGGGTGCAGGCTTCTGGCCACAGCTCTGTGTGCTTGGGTGAACACCCTG